TCCCCAAAGTCCATTACAAAACCCTACTCCTGACATTACATATTCAGATGTTTATTGACTATTTAAAATTTTTCTTTTCCTATTTTTTTTGTTCTTTTAAGTTTTTTTATACCAATCATCTCCCTCTATACACTCCACTGAAACCTATAGCCTTATGACAACAAAAAAAAAATAATAAACTGACTATACTTGACATATGTGGCACATTTTACATCTATAGTTCCTACTTCTCTACTAAGAGGAAGTATTTCATTATCTGTTCCCCTGGACCAAGACTGGATAATGATTATTTTAAAAATACAACACTGTATACAGACTTAAGAATGCTTGTTATAGGAAGCTTGCAGAGCCAAAACTGTGACTTCCTGTCTCAGTCTCATAAGAAAATTGGAATCTGTCTTGACTGGACAAAGCCCTGTTTTCCAACATGACTCTGGAGCCAGGAGTGGTGGTGCATGCCTTTTATACCTGACACTAGGGAAGGCTAAGGCTGGTGGATCCTTTGAGTTAGGGAGTTCTGAGCTGCAACAGAGCTAACACTGATGCAGTATCTGTACTGTGTCTAGTGCTAATACGGTGAGTACTTAGGAGGGGAGGGCCAGGTTTCTTAAAGAGGGGAGGACTAGTCTAGGTTAGAAAAACAGAGCAAGGTTAAGCTTCCACACTTGTCAGCATTGGGATTGGGTCCATGAATGACTGCTGTACTTCCAGCCCAAACAAGATAGGAAGTCTCTCTGTCTCTGTCTTCCCTCCCGTTTTGTGTCCCCCCCACCCCCGCCTGGGATAATTAAATGACACAGCAATATTGTTAGAGTGAGTTTGGGCATGGATTATTGAAGGCTATTCTCTCCTTTATTCATACGAATGGGACTGCTGAAATATAGCTCTTTAGCTCCATAGCCAACTTCAACCAGAAGACCAAGATGGCAAAAAGTAGTCCCTTTAGTCCAGGTGCTGAGGGCTAACTTATGGGATAGCAGAAATATACTTCTATTTAAAAGACATATCAGACCATTCAGATCCTCACCAAATAAGTAGGATGCAATTTTAATGCTGATGAAGCCTTCACTTAATTGCCAATGAACAATAGCATTTTTTGAGGCAAAAACTATCTCTTTGGTCAGTAGCACATCAGAGTAAGATTTGTCAAAGACTAGTGAATATCCAAAGCCAAAATTCAATTGAGATTTGCTTTTATTACTACTGGTACCAGGTCCTTCTTGATTAGCAGAATTTGGGTCCTAGCTCCAAATTTACCAGAAGCACAATGCACATAAACAATAGTGAACTGGATTCAACAATAAACCTCAGATGAAAAACACGCTTTGCAAGAGGTCAAAATTTATGCTTACTATATGGGAAGTATATATGGTCCAAACTAGCTACCAATAGGAATTAACCTTCCAGCTGTGTAAGCCTCCCAGAATGATAATAACAATTACATATTCATCTCTATTAACACAGCCATATGGGACCAAAAAGTTTATCATCTTTGAATGGTTCCAGACTGTACAAACCTAATAACTACCTAATACATGTAGCCAAGGTATTTTTTCAGTAGCACAGAAATGTTACACAGCCTAGAAAAGTATAGAAATTATATATGTATGTATATGTGTGTATATATAGATATATAGATATAGATATAGATATAGATTTATAAAAAACTGAAGATGCTAAGGAGGTAAAATTTAACCATTCCAGTAGTAATTTCATCAGCACACATAACGACTGCTTTATTTTTCTTAAGCAAAAGGTGATCATTTTCAATAGGATCTGTTCCCAGTCGGAGAAACAAAGGACCAAAAGTATCTGGATTCTATATTTCAGGAACAGACTCTCTCTGTAAGCAGTCTCTGCCTAAGTCAAAGACCAACTCAATCAATGTAAATATCCATGTTGCCAGAAAGGAAGTACAGAGAAAAACTGCGCTGAAGTCCTAATAAATACTTAATAGTGTTATAACTGGGTAACTGTTTAAATTTAAATCAGGTAAATGTAAACATGGGTAAATGTTTTAAAAACTGGCTCTATGGTATATGTGTACATGACACACTTTAATATGCATTAATAACATTTTTTCCCATTGATTTTTAAAGTCTAGAAAAATCAACGAAACAACAAAAGAAGTCCTGATTTGTTGGGTTTGCTGATTTCTTGAGGTGTAAATACAAATAGTGACAATTTAGCTAGTTCGAGCTGGCTCTAGGCACACCCCTGGCTGTGATGCTTAATGCATATGTATGTAAGTTACTATTATCATAACCTTAATTTCATATTAAAGAACTACCACCGGTTATTCATACATTAAATAAAATAGTTTAGGAGTGATTATCTAGCTTAAAGGTACACTGCCTGAAACTGTCTTCAAATACTAAGAGATGGTGAACCATAAAATGAGAATTATTATAATTAGCATCATTAAATCCACTGAAAATTAGGGATATTCAAAATTAGGACAGACTCAGGGACATCTGGCCTAAGCTATTACAGCTATGCTGCCAGAAGTCTAGACAGAAAAGACCTTCTTTTACTGTCTTTCACTGTCACAATCCGAATTAACACAAACCAGATCAAGAATGAGTCACTTTCCTTTGCTTTAAATACATTAAAAGAAAAAAAAGGCATCAACAGGTAAGTCTGGAAGCCTGATAAATCTATTTGGCCTATTGGATTCACTGTACATATGGAACAATACCAAATGGAAAAAGGAGTGATGAGGTATATAACAACTTTGAATTCCCAAGCTTTTTTTTTTTAATCAAGTAGGACTAAGGGGTTCAGAGTTGCTAGTGTCAACTTCCTTTAATCACTTTTGCTGGGAAAATGCTGGTTGGATTTCAGAATTAAAGGGGTACCCAATAACTTCAGAACTAGGCTCATTGACGAGGTATGATTAATAGCAAGTAATTTCAATACTCCACGCTACAAACTACTAGCTATGGAACTAGGTTCTTTATTTTAATACAATGCAGCCAGAAATCATGTGAATTTTTTTACTTGAAGTAAAAAAAAAGTATAATGTGCTATATATACAGGAGGTCTAAAACAAAGAACAAAATCAAGATTAGTTATTAGGGCTCTCAGGAGGATTTTTTATGTGTAAAAAAATTATCTATATGAGAGACAAAAACAAAATTTGTAAAATCATACTTTGTGGCTCTCTATTAGGCCACTAGAGTTGTTTCCCTTTTGATATACCAACCTAAAGCTAGAAATATTATAACATAGCAATACTCAAAAGCTCATTTATATAGTACTTTGAAATTTACAAAGTTTATATTTAAACTTTAAAGTTTACAGATATACAAGAGGGAGATGCACCAATTATCAATGACTCAGACTGATATGACAGCCCTTTGTACACATGCACTTTGACTGAGGGTGGGTCTGTCACCAGCTGTTCAGATTCTGTGGTCTGTGACTGTGCCACACCCAGAAATGCTGTTGTTTAAGATAAATACCTTTGCTTCAGGGCCATTAAATCAAGTCTACAATAGATAAATCTAACTTAGAAAATTCTGGTTCTGTGACAACAGGTATTCACATGGCCTATTTACTTAATTCTTCTGATAAAGGTCAGCCCTAAACCATTATTTAGTGCCATGGAAGACTGACCACACTTTAGGGCATCCAGCATTCTGATGTACTGAAGTACCAGTGTGAGTATAAAAAATGTCACGTATTTCCATGGACATCCTAGACATTCAAATCCAAACCGGATCTGGATTAAAGTGCTATCACCAGACTTCTATCTAAAGAAAGCTATTCAAGTTACTCCTTACAAGCAAAGGTTTTCATCAAGAAATGCTTGTCTTAGGATTTCTGGACCACCAAGATGCAGGTCTTCTTTCCAAGGTCATTCACTCTATTGAACTATTATGATCCATTTAACTACTTATATTCTATATTGAAGATAAAACTGTCTGTGAAAACAGATGTTTCTCCCCAGAATTCCAAAGACTCATCCTTGCCCACAACCTCTTGTTTTGCTTTCAAATATGGAATCAGCTGGTAATTGCCTCTCCAAGGAAAAACTAATTTTTGGAAGGCCAATCCAGTTTATGAGGACAAAAGTTTTCCTTTATGTGTCTTTCCACAAAGCTTAGCAGGCTGTTCACACTCTGTAGAGATTAGGTCTGAAAAAAAATTACTGGAACTAGGTTCACAGATGGTTCTGAAAATTTTCATTTGTAGGCACTACTTACTATTTTCTGACAAAGAATATTCATCAACCACTAGCACAGTTATGAGTTTTGCCATTTTGCGCCCATCACTAGGGTCTGGGAGGGAGAAAGAGAGAGAGAGAGAGAGAGAGAGAGAGAGAGAGAGAGAGAGTGTGTGTGTGTGTGTATGTATGTATGTGTGTAAATATACTCAAAACAAGATGGAGGCCCATTTTACGTAATATTTTTATAATAAAATAATTTTTCTAATTTTGTTTCAGCCATACAAAATTCCTGGTACTTAATAAATAATAAAGTATTACCCAACTGAGTATTTCATAAACAGACCCATTAATTCCCATATAGTTTGGTAGTGGTAAATGGGAAAAGGAGGGTCAGGGAGTCTATGTGGTCTTTTGCTCCAAGTGAAGCAAGAATCAGAAAACGTTTGAGAATTATGGTACTATTGCTTGCCTTCTCAGGGAGGGGAAAGGGGCAGGAGGGAGAAAATTTGGAACTCACAATTTTAAAAGAACAAATGTTAAAAACTGTTTTTACATGTAATTAGAAAAAAATACATTAAAAATTTTTTTAAATGGTGACAAACAAGGGCAACTGTTTTATACTTAAAAGGTACCATAGACAATAAAATAATATCCATCCTTAATATATATGCACCAAAAAAAAAAAAAGAAAGAAAAAAGAAGAGAAGGAAGAATTATGGTAGGTACTAGATTACCTTTGGATGCTCTCTCTTTCTAGGCAGATAAGATTCATTATGTCTGAAAGGGAACCGAACTAGGGGCAGCCTACTAGCTTTCTCAATAAACTCACCTTCTCTCCTTGGAGTGACGGGACAGAGTCCCGCAAACTGTGAAAGCTGTCTTTGATGTGGTCCCTGCGCTTCCGCTCCAGTGCATTATGATGCGCTCGTTTGTCAGCCTGAAAGAGAAAAGGAGAAAGAGCAAATCAGAAACCAACATTCCCAGTACACAGTATCAGAGGGTCCAGGTTTCAATCCAGAGGTGTATGCTGTCAGTGATCTCCCTGGCAACTGGACTGGGAAGCACTGGACTGAAGGGGGTAATTGAATGGGGAGGGATCTCCAGAACTAGACCCTGTTAAAGGCAGAAAAAACGGTGAGTAGCAGCAGGGTCTGTGACAGGAACATCCAAGGCAGTTCGACACATCTGGCTCATGCACAAGTAAAATAAGTTATTCATGGGAGCAAAACGTGATTCTCTTGGAACAAATCCTTTCCCCAAACTTACTGATGTGAGACAACAATCAGTGATTGGTAGTGACAAAATTCCAGGTAGATACATTAATAGAGTGCAATCATATCCACTAATGGAAGTTTCCCCTAACATATATGCCCAGGGAAGAAGTTACACATACTATGCTACTTTCTCAAAGAAGTCCATCACAGTAATTCTCTACTCTGCGCTTCCAAATGATAATATCCCTACTTGTGATCCTTCCAGTTTGTAACAAAAAAAAGAGACCTATGAAAAAACTCAACATGCATAAATCTGAGACTAGCTTGGAAAATAAAAAAGGACAAAGATTCCAACTCTATTTAGGCTTCCTGATTCTTAAAACCCATGGCAAGCATTTCCCCTTCAACAAAGCTTGTGCCAGAGAGACACAGTTCTTAGACGGCAAAGCTTTCAACCTTCAGATGCTTGGAATAAATCTCCCTAGGCACCTGTTGCAAAACACATTTACTTGGCAGGATCCAAATATCCACAAACTAGACTCTCTTTGCCTTAAACCACTCAGAATCATAAACAAGAACAATTAGCTGAAGAGGTATATAGGCTGTCAAAGCACTAGGCCTCAAAGGCTTCAAGGAGGAAAGTATAGGTTACTGTCTCAACCCAAGTGAAAAGGTTTAGTTAACCCTCATGATAGAATGCAAGTGCTACTATTGCTCTAAAGTGAGGATTTAAACCACATGTGGGTTGTAAAGAGTTAGGGGAAAAACTTTTGATTGAGAATTTACCCTTAGCATACCAATGATGTCATCATTATATAACTCCATGGGGGTGACCTAAAGAACAAATTTTTGTGTAAAAGGAAACAAGTAACAAACTTACATAGGGAGCATCAAAACTTTTTAAATGAGGCTGTAAAAATAAACAATAATTCAATTACGTACTGGAATGATGCACAACACTATACTAGGTCCTAAAAGATGTAATTTGCTGTAATCAGTAAGCCCTTGTTCTATATTGTGATGTGAAAACATAATTTTAGATAGGAGATGTAACAAGATTTGAACACACTTGATCGTTAAAGGAAAAAGGGTGGCTAACATAGAGGTGGCGGCTGTTATAACTTTAAGTTACATCCTGATTTCCAAACAGCATCCTATCTACTGCTTTAATTCTATTGAACACATGGTTCCCATCGTGGTTATGGACAGCGAACTGCCAGAGAACACAACTTTTCCTTTTCCAAGGCATGTGACTGGGCAGCTTCTAAAAAGCCAGTTACCTTGTTCACCGAATAATGAGTGCACTATCCTGAACCACAGCCATACCATAAAACAGCATGGAAAAACTGAAGAAAACCATTAGACAACCTTGCTTGCCAGACAAATTTAGGTCAATGAATTTTCATCTATTATACCACCTGAACACTTGACTGTACAGTCTGTGACTACTTTCTAATTGTAAAAATTAGGGGGATGAAATAACATGTAGCACACAAATTTAAGAATCCAGTCCAGTTCCCTCCCCACCACTGCCATTTACCTTTTCCTAGGACAAAGCTACAAAGCTTGGAAGAACACACTAACATAAAATATCTAAAGTGGCCAATACACTGACCATTCAGAATGTAACTGGCTCTCCAATATCCTCTATTCCATTGACATTATTATCTGCAAATTAAATATACACCTCTAGTCTCCAACAGTCCAAGATTCTGCTGCCTGTTAAGTTATCCTAACTCTTGGCCTTCTTTCTGTCTCAATGCTGTTCAACTTAAAGGGCTGTACATAGAAGCACCACCATGAAAATACAATTATAATCCATCCTGATCCTCCCTCTCTACCTCTCTGCAAAAGATTTCCCCCCCCTTTTTTTTGGGAGAGCCCTGCAAATATAAGTTAAAAATCAAGGTGGACCTGGTTTCACTAGGTCCTAAATTAGTTAGGTCGAGCTAAGCACAATTTAAGACCAAAATCACCCCCACAATGCACTATTCCCTTCCCATTCACTGAGCCCTGAAAAGACTGAAATGGACAACAAGCCTTTTGGTTGGAGAACTGTAAGTGAACTTGGCATTCAACCACCAGCAGAAATCTTGGCTTGTCATTTGGGGAGCAAGCCAAGTTTGAGAAGTTGGCTCAACAATGCAGGCAGCACAGTTTGCTGCCTGGTAGAAAGCCGGGGCTGGAGACTGTTGTTCTCAAAGCAGTGGATGGAATTACAAGAGCAGTTCCAGGTCCAATTTAACTAGCAGAAGAGAGGAAACAAAAAACAATCCCTGCTGCCATGTCTACCCCTGAGTTGCCACACCTATCAATGGCCAATCTGTGAAACTCTTAGAGATGAACAAGAAGAGGAAAATACATTGTACTAGCCCTACCTACACTTATCTAAGTTAGATTGGCAACACCGAGGACTGACTTAACTACACTCTTCAAGTCACAACCAAGGCAAATCTGTACTAAATAACAGAGCTCTCATCCATATTTCCAGGGGCTCTGGAGCATACATAAATCCCTTAGGCCGAGCAGACAACCGTGCTTGGCACAGATACATTCAATGTCAAATCAGGGCAGTCTGACAACACTGTCCCCCATTCATCAGAATGGTATGGCCAGCTGCCAGGATACTACTGTTCATCAACGCCTTGTTAAGTGCCTTCACAGATTGGCATTTCCTTTACTAAGAAGAAAACCTCACCTTGGTTAGTGATTACTGCCAGTGTACAGTATATGGGTTCCTCCCACAGGCATATGCACAAAATGTGTAAAGATGTATGCTCTGTACAAAGGAAGTCAAATTAGGATGACTCTGCTCTGTCCTGCACTGGGAAAGGTCTTTCATAAGGGTAAAGTGGTAATGAAAGTACCTTTCCAAAATCAGTCAGACAAACCCTATCTACAGGATGACAGGAAAATTCCTGGAGTGGCCAGTAAGCCCAGGGAAAAACTTACCAACATGTACCATACAGATAGCAGCTGCAGATCCTGCCTTTTCTTAAGTAAACTGGATTCATGGTGCCTGCCAAAGTAGCATTCCTTCAGGCCATCCCAGGCTTACAAAAATACTATGAGATACTGAAGAGTGGCCCACAGATGCTCAACAGGAACTCAGGCACAAAAGAGCTTCCAGCTTTGACTTCTCTGCCAAGGTCTTTATTCTTCCATTCAGTTCTCCTTCCACTGAACTTCCCACAGATGCAGCCAGAATAAAAATCTTCTACAATTTGTCCATCCATCCCTGACACTAACAAGTACATGTTAAGTTGTTAAATGTTGAAAGCAAATGCCACTTTTTTTTAGCCAAGTTGCTTAAGTTGCAGGAGAGTTCATATAGTCTGATGGATTCTGCTTAAAATTGGGGGAAATCTATTTAAATTATTTCCTTCCAACTTTCTGAATATAGACTCTATCCTTATTCAATGTTTTTTGTTAACCAGCATCCCTTTTTCCTGAAAAGGCCAAGCAAATGGCAGATAGTACAGAGAAAGAGCTCATCAGGCTGGTTCCCAAATAGTTAAGGAATTCTGTGAGTAGAATTCTTTCACAACTAATCCAGCTACACACATATCTCCTCCAAGTAAAGGGAAACAGATAGTTACCTTGCCTGACACAGGGTAGCAATCCATCACAACTCACTGATTTTTAAGAAATTTCTGAGTTTGAACCTTTATAGTTTATTACCACAACCATTAAGATAGTCTTGACTTTTTTTTTTAATCCATATCTCTGATTTCATCCATGTACATACTACACCAATGACATATGTGTCTGGAGCACTAAGAGGTTAAGTGACCTGCCCAGGAGTCACATAGTTTTTGTTGAATACTGGTCTCCCAACTCTAATTTAGCTCTTTTCCATCATCGTTACTATTTCACTATTAACTAAATTTCTTGCAAAAAGACTTTATGTCCTGGCCCTGTGACTCCACTGGGGCAGGGAATTCCCCTTGAGGAAATCTCCCCCAATTATACATATCTACAATTGTTCTGCAATTTATAGTATTAGAGACTCTGGGACACTGAGAGGTTAAGTGACTTGCCCAGGGTCATATAGCAAGTATGTAGCAGGTGGGCCTTGAGCCCAGTTTGTCCTGACTCCAAAGATAAGCTTTCTATCCTCTATCACACTGCTCCTGACATTAATAATGAATTAATCAGGGCTCAAAACTTATAAGAGAGCTAGGAGTTCCCGTCATTACTTGGAGAAGATACAATTGATATTACCTTACCTCAAAAACCAAGCATTACTCTACAGCCACTTGAAAGATTCAACCTGATCAACAGAAAATCCCAACCAACAATGGTGGTGGCCAGCAATGATAGAAATGTACCAAAGCCCTTGGAACAAAAATATTAATTCCAGTTTTCCACAGGTTTATTTGAGGAAATAACTTTTAAACTGACTCAGAATATCAAGGCAAGGCTACAACACTCACTAGTGCTTGCTGACCAAATTTCCAGCTTTCCTTTGAAAATTAATCCTTGGTGTTGAGGAATATGACTAGCACAAAGTGGCATCACATTATACGTCATTTATTAGAGAAAACATTTTTTTGAGCCTAGTAAACTTCTGGCCAGAACCCTGGAGTCCTATCCAAACTGGTCAATTATTCCAACACTGCAGCCATCTTATAGAAAATCACTTTTAAATAGGATTATAACAGCAAGGCACAGTTCCTTTATTAATAGTAATAAAGGTCTATTCAGGAACCAATGATGTTGGAATTTCAGCATTGTGGTTAACCACTTTAAAAGAGGCAGAGTACATATCATCTGTGCCATAAAACTCAATCCTTCTACTAAAATACAGTACTCTGCTACTCAAGTTCAAATCTGAAACACAGATCTCTCCTTTCTTTCTGAATACATTACAATTCTGTAAAGCAAATATACTGGAGAGGCTGACACACTTCACATCAGAAATGGAATTGCACAAACCTGTTTTAAAACTTCTAGAAGATACGCTGCAATTGCAGTATGCTGAGCTAGCATGAAGGACAATCTCTTAGAAATAGTCTCAGGTCTCACATACTTGTATTCAAAACTTAAACCCCTTCCTGTGGAATGCCATCAAAACAGAAAGAAAGCATAAAAACATTATGTGCAAAAGGAATTTATCTTCCTTCCATTATTTTTCAAAAGTTCACAGAATTAAAATAAAAGGAAAATCACATCACTTGAGATTTTTGCAACATGACAATTTTTGTTACAGGAAATATTGCTCAAATATTCTCCAAGTCATTCTTCTGGGTTACTCAGACTGTTTTCTCTAGTCAAACTTATTTTTTTTTCTACCAATGAAAGTCTTTTATCTTTTGCATGGCTCCCAGAGAATATTAAATTCAGTTTCACTTTCTCTTACAGTTAGCTTTATTTCCTACTTCATGTCAGTCTCATATCTCATGACACAGGATTTTTACACCTGTAAAACATAACATTCTCTAAATAATTTTTAAAACTCTTACAATATTGACCCAAATTATTCAATATTCTTTCCTGTTATTTCAGCTTGATTGTCCTTCAAAAGTTAAGGCCTAAAAATGGCTTCTTTATAACAAAAAATTTCTTTCAGTTTAACAAAAAAATTCCCAGGCCTCAGAGCACAAATTTCTTCATCATAGGAAGGGGAATTCTTATTCCTCTATCAGGTCCTGATAGTTGTTTGTGATACCGAAAAACATGCTTGTAATACACCTGCCTTTTCTCTATGCTGTTGTGATTACCTTGTGCAAGATGTCTGAAAGTCTCTCCAAGCCAAATTAAAAAGCCAAAAAGAAATAAAATCAAAGGGATAAACTCTAGACACCTTAACATTTAACCATAAATGTCCAGACAAAGCTCTGAGATTAGATGTTAAGGTGCAGAGAAGTACATTTTAATCATTTCACGGCCATTTAAAATCAATGCATAAATTATTTTAAAATTAAAAAGGTTTTTAAAAATCCAATTATCTCTCAACAAAGAGATCTGGTTTCTTGCTGAAAAACCATGACTAGTTGTTCTAAATAAGAGTCTGAAAAAGAAGCTCTTCAAGGACTCTTTCTCCCCTCTTACCACCCTTGATTTGGGGGCCATTTTCAAATCACATCGAGGGAATTTAGGAGAAAAGTGAAGTATTTTTTAAAATTTTGCTTAAAAAAAGTACAGTGTTAAAGTGGATATACTATTAAGAAGATTTACAACAAAAAATCCAAAATAAGGCTTCTTTCAGCCCATTAAAACAAATTATTTTTTAACAAACGACAATCAGAAACAGTTTTCAAGTCTAATAAAACAATTACATCCCAGGATTTCTGTTAATACTGTTTAAATTCTTCTGAAGCCCTAAATCTCTGGAAAAGATTCTGAATCCCAATTTGCTCTATTGAATCAAATCTAACTCAGCAAGAGTTTCTCTTTTCAAAATAATTAATATTCCTTATTGCTTCCAACTGCAAACTATCAGGAATTCTGTTGTGCTTCATTCCCCTTTCCCACTCTAATCTCCTTTTGTTTTATTACCCAAAAAAGTCTCTTCCCTCCACCCCCATTCAAATTCACTGAACACTTCCAGGTTCCCATCAATTTAAGATACACATCGACATCCACTGAACCAAATATTGAGTACATTAATACAGAAAACCAAAGAAATGATCTAACACATTTTCTTCTATCTTGGCATTCCTCTCTTCCACACCAACTCCAAAGCTTTTTCTCTTTACTTTCAAAACCTTCTTCAACCCATGGGCCTAGAGCAGTGACATTCTGCTACTGTTCCTGTATGTGCAACTTGTGGCTTTAATTTCTGCATTACATTCTTACATAATACTGTTAGGCTCTTTAAAGAATACAGTATTCATATGGCTCTTTACATTTCTGATGATCATATGTGCCTCCAGAGTAACAATGGTTTAAAAGCTATTTGCCTCCAAATATTCTCTTGGCTACTTTGCCTTCAAATAATGACGACTTAATTCAGAACTTTCTTCTTTCCTAAATCCAAACAGTATATAGATCCCTTGGACTTGATCCCTCAAGAATCAGATCCTTTCCTATGGACAAAGCTCCTCCCACTCACCTAGACTCAATGGAACCTAACACCTGAGAATCTAGAATGATTAAGTTTGCAACCCTTCTCCCCATCTAGAATCCCCGAGGTAGACCCCCACCTCACCTCCAGCATTTCACAGTGCAGTTTACCATCATAACATTGAAAGTAACAGAACTCTCTCTGACCCCGAAAAGGATTAGAACTGAACGGAAATGAAAATGAAATGGAGAGAAGGAGACGTACCGCAGATTGAAACCTCGGTTGCTCTTCCTGGAATAAGAGAGAAAAAAATAGAAAATATAGAAGTTATTTTTACGCTTCACATTCAAGAATAAGAAAGAAAATGCCGGCGGTGAAGGAAGCAGGGGATGGGGAGTAAGCCCGACCCTCCTCCCTTCCCCCCAGCCGGGATCCCCGTGCTAGGCTGGGGGGGTGGGGGGCGTGTGTCTTGTGCGCCGCCCCTTCTTCCAGGATCCAGCCCAGCCAGAGGGTACGCGCTGGGGGGAAGAGGTCCTGAATGACCCGTTCGTCAGCCCATGCCAAGGGCATTCTGGGCACCCTAACCCGCCCCAGACAGAAAAAGAACGAGGGATCTTGGACGTGGTTGGGGGGGGCGGGGGAAGGGTCCTGAGCACAGCCCCCGTTCCCTGGATCTGGACAATGAGTTGCGGAGTGTACCCCCATCCCGGCACCGGGGGGTCAGGGAGGGGGGTAGACTGGCCCCAGTGATGCTGCCCTCCCCCCCGCGGGGATAAGGTGAGGGGAGAGTTGGGGGTAAAGAAAGGCTCCCCAAGGCCACTCCTCCCCATCCGGACTCCAGAGGCCGCGGTGGCCGGGCAAGGGAGGGAAGTGCCCGGACCGAGACGGCGACGGCGGACCCGTCCAGAGAGAGGAAGGGCGAGGAGGAAGCGGCCCGGCCTCCGCACGCCTCCCCCGCCCTCCCACCCCGTCCAGTTCCGTCCGCTGGCCCCGACCCCCGAACAGACACGCACGGGAAGGAAGAAACCCCGAGACTCACGTCGCTCTCCACCTCGATGTCATCGTTATCGCTCATTTCCTACGGCCCAGGGAGCGGCCACTGCAGCGGCGGCTGGGAAAGGGGGAGGGGTGGAGGGGAGGGGAAGTCAGGGACAACAACAAGCCGGGCCGCACACGCTCGCTCGCTCGCTCGCTCGCTCACTCACTCACTCACTCACTCCCTCACTCACACACACATTCACACACACACTCACACACACACACATACACACACACACTCACACACAACAAGGCTAGAACCACCTCCTCACTGCAGCACCGGATCAACGGCGGCACGCACGCCCGGCCCCCCCGCCCACGTGACCGGCCTCCTCCGCGCAAGGGCCGCTGAGACTTGGAGTCCACTCTCCTTCAGCCGCCCAAGGACTGAAGGTCCAGGAAGAACTACAAATCCCGTTAGGCACGATCAACACTCAGAGCCGCTCCGGCATGTTGATGAGAACAAGAGCGCCTGCGTGTCCCGCGGAGGAGGAAGGGAGAAACGGCTACGTGAAGCCTTCTGGGAGCTGTAGTACTCGGCGTGGTGGGAGTGTGGAGCGAGTTGTCAGGAGGTTTTTCTCCCAGGGCAGCCGTAGAGGCTGCTGGGTAAGGGAGGACACGTGGAGGCTGCTGGAGCTCCGGGAGTGGAGTGGGGTGTCTGGGCACGCACTCTTCGCTGGGCAGCAGGCCTGCGGGAGAGGGTGGGGAAACCTCTCACGCATGCAGCGCGGCGCAAGAGCGTCCTAATTATCTTACGTCGCCGTGGTTTTATAATTTGACCTCTCTACTGACTCACCAGCCACGTGTTTTTGCTTCTAGGTGTAACCTACATTGGGGCTGCAGGGAGGAACTCCACGGAAGGGAGAACCCCCTGGTCCAGTGGGAGGTACAGCTTATCTGCCACTAGTATTTAGAGTCTGAGCAAAGGCATTCTCGGTGTGAACTGCATACCGGGAGTGTGAACCTTCTCGTCTCAGACCCGGAATTGTTTATTTTGGGAGTGTCAGGCTGTGAGCATCTTTACAATTTCTAGTGTGTCAGAGGAGGCCCAAAAATGTAACAGTTGCCATGAAATCCTTCCAATTTTAAAATACATGGAAGGGAAATTACCACCTTTATAGTTTTTAGGATACTTAAAGTAACAGAAGTAGCAAATGAAACTTGGCCAAAGGTGAGAAGTGGAAACTGATACTTTGTAGTTTGGAAATGCCTTGGTGCCAACCTTTTGTACAAGGCCTTTCTTGAACTTCTCTCCCTCGACATCTGTCTTCTCACCCCTACTCCATTATTTTGTATATGCTTCGTGTTACTTATGTACCTGTTGTATATCTCCAGTAGTATGGAAACTCCTTGAGTTCAGGGAAGGACTGTTTAATTTTTCTTTTAGAATCCCCAGCAGCCCCTTGAACCTAATAAGTGTCGTTGAGGGATCAGAATTGAAAACCTGAATAGGGTTAAATAATAAACAATTGACTAAATTAATATATTTTACTTATAAAATTATTTATAAAATGAGAAATTAGCTGAAAGAGCCATAGTATAGTGGTAAGAGTGTGGGGTATGGAGTCAGATGATGTGGGTTTCAAAATGACTTTGAAACCTTACCTGTATAATTCCTTAAGTGAAAAATGGAGGGATTGGACTAATTAACATTTAAATTTTTTTCCCAGCTGTAAATACCTAGTACCATCATCTATGATCCTTTAATTCTAGAGGACTCATGTGAAACCAGAGTCTGTGATTCCAAAAGCAGTACCTTTGCCACTGTAGCATGGCGGTGTGTTTGCCACATTTAATTCAACAAACGTTTTATTAAATCTTGTGTGCGTTTGGTCATTTTTCAGTCATGTCCAACCTTGTGATACCATTTGAGGTTTTCTTGGCAAAGATACTGGAGTGATTTGCCATTTCCTTTTCTAGCTCATTTTACAGATAAGGAACTGAGGCAAACAGGGTTAAGTAATTTGCCCTGGGTTACACAGCTAATAAGTGTCTGAGGCAAGAATCGAACTCAGAAAGATGAGTCTTCCTGACTACAGGCCTGGCACTCTATCCACTGTGTCACCTAGTTGCCCCTTATTAAATATTACCATATACAAAAGCCAAATGATCTTCACCTTGAGGCTCACATAGTTCTACCAAGGAATTATTGTTATTAGTATTGTTAATAATAATAGCTAACATTTACACTGTTATGAGGAAATAGACTGGGAAAGTTTGTGTCTTACCTGAAGTCACACAGCCATACACTAGGCCACCTAGCAACCTCCCAAATACATTAAATACTTTAGAATACATGATTAATTTACCACCATCCATACAGGCAGCAACTCAACTCAGCACCCTCTCCCAAATGATGATTATTTTCTCCTTTTTGTAACTGACTTCTGCCCAGTTTTTTAAAGTGTCTAAATCTCACCTCTCTCTAAACCTTTCAACACCTTTAAATTTCAGCATTTGATCTCACATTAAATGGAAGGCTAGAAGAGCAAAGATCCTGAGGCATGAGAGCATAAAATTATTCAAGGGATGGCAACCTAGTTAATCAGAACTAGATATATTTTTAGTTTTTTTTTTTAATATGAGTGGTGGTAGAACCTTCTATTATGAAATGACAGGTCCAGATCCTCCCCTGCAAAAACAAGCAAACCTTTTGAAATAGGTGGGAAGAGTGGATGAGAATATCATTTCAGACTATCGTAAGGTATAACATGAACCTCCAAAGCCTCGCTCTAGTGTTTCATTCTGGTGTGAAAGTGGCACTGGATTCTCAAAGTTATGCCAACCTACTATAAGATCTAGTAGGTCTTATCAAGTTGGAAATGTTTCAGCTACAGGACTGGTAAAAGACACAATATGTTTATTGTGTAAAGACCAGACTAGCTCGGAGCTTTGGAGAAGCATGTCACCAAATGGTTAACCTAATGTTGCTTTTTTTGGTCACAGGAACTCACTAAACCACCTAAATCACAGAGGAATTTTGATCTTCATTGGTAGGAGGAATACTGACATTGCTGAAATCACAAATCCCTGAAATTTTGAAGTAAGTAGACCATGAATGATGAATTTTATCAATCAAATTTATAAATAACATTTAAATAACACTTTTAAGTTTGAAGAATGCTTCTCCTACGTCATTTTATTTGATCGTCAGTCACAACAGCCCTTTGAAGTAAGTACTACAAATAATTTCCTTTAATTTACAGAGGAGGAAACTAAATCTTAGGTAAAGTGACTTAGCTAGAGTCTCATAACTAGTTAGTGTCAGAGGCAGGATTTGCTCCTACAGCTTTTCAGACTCCAAGTCTTGCTCTCTGCTATACCATACTGCCACTCCAGTTCATACCAGGTTAAATAGATTTTTTGTTGTGTACTTATGCTTCGTTATGTTTGTATTTGGACCAGCAAACCATTATTCATCAGCACAATATCTGTACTTTATAATTATATCTGCCTTTTGAACTAGGCAGCTCTCCTTCAACTTGAATCCAGGTGATAAATCACTGATGCCATAATTAGTTTTGTGATTGACAAGGGTTACTTGTTTGTTTTAAGCCTGTTGTGTTTCAAAGACTTCATGGACAAGCTATACTCTCCTAGAAGGCCAAGATGGGAAGGTAGAAATTATCTTGTCTTCTGAACTGCTCAATTTCCTCCCAGTTAGAGCTTGCTTATTGGACTTAAGGTTCACCTGGTTGATGTGGAATTAACATTCGTGTGGTAGATGAGAAATATATTCTCCAGAAACCCAAGAGATTATTTCCTTGGCACAGTGATATTATGCCAGGACGCTTGATAGTGGTGCTGATCCGTACTAATGCTTCTCTGTGAAGATTGTTTTTTGGCATTCGTGCCTAAGAACTTTTTGGTCGGTGTGGAGAGCATGAGAATGGCTTCAAGCCATAGTTTATTCTCAACCTTAGTTGGAGTCCTTGAAGTTACTTATTTGACTCTTAAGTTAAAAATAATTTTTTGGTGACAAAAATACCAACAAAAGGTGTGAAATCAGTTTATTTAAAATGTGCTTTATTGATAACTTTATAATCTTTTGTCTATACCTTTATAACAATCTTCTGTCACTCAACCCTCCAAATTGAACCCAACATTGTTACAAAAAAAACCCAAACCCAATTAAACAGAAACATTAATGTTGTCCCAGTTATTCCTCCACCTTTCTGCCACGAGTGAGGAGGTTTCTCTTCAGCAATTTCATTAATTTTTTTAATTGATGCCTTTGATCTTTACATCATAGTCACTTTTCTTCCTTCCCTCCAGATGGAACCCTACCTTTGTGATAAAGAAAAACAGGTAAAAACATCCAGTAAGGAAGTCTCGAATGATAATATATAAAATATTCTAATTTAATGGTTCCCTGGCTCTCTGCAATGAGGAAGGAGGTATGCAACATTGTCTTTTCTCCAGCACCTTAATTTTTAATAAAAAAATTTTTATTATGAATTTATACATCAACAAACATAAATATTTTAATTTACAGAGAACAGAGAAGAGTATCGTTTATGAAACTGAGCTTCTGTTATGTCCAGTTCATTTGGAATATATGAAAATTTTAAATTAAAAAAAATTTTGTGTTATTCTACACTTGCCATACACCAATTAACATGAGCATTTCCGTATGCAAAGAAAAGTGAAGGAAGAGAATTGTATGTAAAACCATAAATCTCCATTGTAAATACCTTATCCTTTTTTTAAAAAAAAAAGCACATAAATTCTACGTGTTAATTTTAAAGCTGTTTTGCTTGTCTATACCTCCCTTTGGACCAATTTCTTTATATTTATGTATGGTCTTATTTCCCACATGTTTTGGTGACCCTTTTTTCATTCTTTGTTTTTGAACATCATTATCCCTAGGCCTTGCCCTCACACCCCATCCTTCCTCCCTTAAAAAAAAAACAAAAAACAAACCCAACACCCTGTCTTGTGGCAAACAAGCATAGAAAAGCAAAACAAATTTACACATTGGCCTTGTTCTAAGGTGTGTATATCATTCTGCATCTCTGTGAGGGATGATCTCTCAGAAGTGAAGCTTCCTCAGAGGGTTAATAGTTCTTGTTAATAGTTCTCACAAAGGGCAGCAATTAGGAGATCACTAGTCATTTGGAGAGAGCTATCTCAGTTAAATGATAAGGTCAAAAGCCAGATAATAGGAGATTAAGAAGAGAGTGGGAGGAGAGAAATTGGAGGCACCTGTTGCAGATGGCCTTCTAATTGTATTGTTGAAACACATTCCCTTCTGACCTTGTCAAAACCTTCTTCTCAGACCCTGTTTTTAAGCAGGTAGCCACCTTT